GAGAGAGAGAGAGAGTACCTACATTCTATTGCATAAGAAAATGAAATTAAGGAAAAGAATTCAGATAAGAAATGGACAATCAACTGATCCAATAAAATAAATATTCAGAAACAAAATATTTTGAATTTCTATTCAAGAAAATTAGCTATAAAACTGGACAATCTACTGATCCAAAAAAAAAATTGACAACCAATGAATTGATAGATAGAATATTTCATAGCAAAACACTCTTATACTAGTTTTGTGGCAAATTAATAGAGAAATAAAAGCCTGGCACAGAACAACAATGCGATGGATAAGAAAATATCAAAAAAAAAACAAAAAAAAATTTCATTAAAATGTGAAACACAAATCGATTCCAGAGTAAAAAAATACACAAATAAAGCCATGCATGATAATGGTCACATAAAATCCGCAATAACTTACGAATAAGAAATGTCACTGAAAAAGAAAAACCTCAAATATAATTAATTCTAAAAATAATGAGATCTAACTATTCAAATATCAATCAGAAGATAATGCAAGGGGTGAATCTCAAACAACTTTCTCTCTCTCTTCTTTTTTTTTTTTTTTTTGAGAGAGAGATTGAACCACTGTCATCAAAGGGACAACATTGAATTTTATTATTACTTTTTATTTTAAACTAATATAAATATAAAATTTAGGCTATAGCTTCATTTTTATAATTACGAATGCATAAAAATAGTAAACGAATATTTTGAATAAGAAATATTAATCATAATAAATTTAGGGATAGCCCCTTGGGATTACCAAAATCCCTCCTACCCTGTCAAGTTTAAAACTTTGGGATTTTTTTTTTTTGTGACTTGATATACAAATTTTATTGATGATGATGATGATAACAATAACAAAAACAACAACATATTAATTATTAAAAAGTATTTTGATAAAGTTTTAATAAATAAATAATAATAATCCATTAACAATTGTAATAAAGATCTTGATTATTCATTTTCGAAATTCAAAAGATATTGATGCATTTGTAAAATAGGCCATGATATTAAAGAAAGTTTCATTTCCTGTTCAAGTCTAAATTTGTAGAGTGGGTTGACGGAGGAAAGATTAGCTTTGGGCAACAAGAGAAAGGGAAGGGAGTTGACTAATTGATGGATTTGGCCTTTTGTAAAGCAAAAAGATCAAATTCGTAAAAAGAACAAAGAAAAACAAATTGGGAGGCTAACGGTTATTAAGTTTACTATTGGGGAGGTACAAGGGGTTTTGGTGAATCCAATGGGTTAATAGGAATGGAAATTTTGGGAAGGGGTAAAGGTCACTTTTCTTTTTAATATTTAAAATATTTTTAATCATTATTATTTAATTATATTTATAAAAATATAAAACTCTTATAAATATTATTATCATACCCTTATCCCAATTATTTAGGATTGACTGCACAAACTTGTTATGCCATTATGCTCTATCAAGTGCTATATTCTCTGTAAGAGTATAAGTCTCTATATTTTTTCTCACTACTTCATTTCTCTGTCTTTTTGGACATTTCTCTTGCCCTTTTAAAGCTTTACACTTGAAGCAAATCACACCTCCTTACTAGTATTGTAATAGGTATGCGTTGCACATAATTAGTCAACCTAAGTTTACTTCCCTCATCTCATCACTAATAGGAGCCACCTCTAAGCTCCCTCGAATATATTCATTCTGAAAATTATCATTTACTGTCATATCACTCATCCATCTCAATATTTTCTTCTCTACTACACTCATCCTATGATAATGTTGTTTCTTGATTACCCAACATTCTGTCCCATAAGGCGAAGCTGATCTCATGGTTGTCTTGTAGAACTTCATCTTCAGCTTAGTTGATATGCAGTGATCATATAAAACTCTACTCATACATCTCCAATTCATGTACCCAATTCTAACTATATGTGCAACATTTTCATCAATCTTTTTATTTTTCTTGATGTAATCTATAAAAAAAATACTCTCTTTTAGATTTTTGTTGGCCATAAGTCTTAACTGCTGATATTTATTACAAAACTTACACTCAAATACATATCTTATTTAAAAAAATTTTAAAAAAATTACAAGACTAATTTTCGACCGTGAGATGTGCCATCGTGAAATCCCAACAATTAAAAGAGCTCTCACGTTGTCGGGAAACTTTTTCCTGTCTTTGTGACTCTGAAACTAAAAAGGGCGAAAAAACCTTCAATTACTCAATGTCTTCCAAATGATCAAAGAAACTGCTCAAATAACAACGCGACGCCGGAAACCCTAAATTTCCGCTTTGCGGTCATTGATGGACGCCGCTAGGGTTTCTGGTTTCTGAGTACTTTTGGAATTGGAGTGAAGTTAGGATTTTAGGATCATCATCATTTCGAAAGAGGAAATCCTTTTCGAAGTTTGGATTTCTCAGGCATTGAATTTCTTGTTTTTATGAACTCGAAATAGGTTTCTGGTCTCTGGTCTCTGATTCTTCTTTCCATGGCCAGAGGCTATCTTCACTTGCTCCTGGCTCTTATGTTGAGCTCTTGCTGCTGCTTGCATGGTACGCAAGCTTGATTACGTAAATTTTTTTATAGATGTTAAGAGCCTTTTACTTGAAATGGTAGCTATTCCTACCCTAGCGGGTATGGGCCAATTTAGGAGGTTTCTGCGTTTTCTATGGGGAAGTAAGTTTGCTTATCTGATGTTGTTGTAAATGGTTTAAAAACGGAAGTCATTGCTTTCTTTTCATCGTTCTTTTAGGTCAATAATAATAATAATAATAATAATAATGATTATTATTATTATTATTATTATTATTATTATTTTTGTGGAAATAGGTAAATTAAATATGTCAAAACTCCAAACTTGTTGCCTTCCTCTTCAGAAAAGGGTTGGTTTTTTTTTTCTGATTTGGCAGGTTGTAAATTTATAGCATACATGTATTCTGTTCGCACTGCAATTCAAAGAAGTTTAGTGATAATTCTGGAGAATTGCATGTCTTCTTTGCTATCCGTGAACTTGGTGCAGTATCATCCTAAGAGTTTAAATATTCTGAAACTAAGCATACCTATATAATTTTTGGAAAGGAGGGTAACGCATTTGTCTTCTACTCCAAACTAGGTATTTAAATTCCACTATGTGCATGCTTTAATACTAGGAGAAAACTTTTACTGCAATATTTAAATTCCACTCTTATGTACAGGGTGCACTCTGTGTTTTATGTTGTGTATCTACGTGTGGACACAATTGGGCTAGAAGATGGTTGTATAATAATAAGCCAGTACATTTTGGAAAAGTTGCTTTAATAACTGCAACTTTACTGTAGAATATATGGACTAATTCTTCCAAGTACTGGTTCTGTCTCTCTATCTATCTATATATAGGAGAATGATTTCATGCAACGGTTGTATAGTAGTATAATGCAACCATCTTCAAAAACCATGTTAAAGATATTTGTTTGACATGAATTTTTAAATGTACACTCTTTTCATTTTGAAGAACAATCACAAAAAATAAAATTTTGAAAAAAATGCTCTAGAAAGTTTTCATTTTAGCCCAATTAATATAAGCTGTCCATTTTATTGAGATGGTTAGATATAGGCTTCAGAAGGATTATTTTATTCCCAAAAATTTTATATGGTGTTATCATCATTAGATTAATAATGCTAAAAGAGAAAAAAGTGATTTTGAATTTGTTAAGGCCTAGATCTTGAAATTCACCAAATGGATGGTCAAGATTCATTGTTGGATGGGTACTGATTTTGACCATATCTAGGGTGAAAATTGAATTTTTTTTTCGTAGGATTGATTATGAGGATGAAGAGAATGTGTGTGCAAAGTTTGGGGTCATACAAATGCCAAAAATATGGTTTTCTATGAGCTCATATGTTCAAATGAGCTAGTGTGCTAATCTCAACATTTTCCATATATATATATATATATATATATATATATATTTATTTATTTATTTATTTTGTGTATCCTTGTATCCTAAAGACTCCTCATGGGATTACATATACAAAATCTCATGATATCTTTTGGAAATTGCTTCTTCCTTTCTCCATGGCCTGTCATTTATGAACTTCAATTAGGTTGCAATCATCCAAAATCCATAATGGTGCTCTCAGTTCTGTCCTTTGTTCAAAGATTGTTTTATAAAATATGAATTCATCGTTGATTAAAAAAGAAAAGAAAGGGAAAGTATTTGTCATCCTTGGATTCTTCACCTAATTTGGGGAGCTTTCACAAACTAGTGATATTCTTCACCTGCACAATGAAGTTCTATCACCGTATTGTTTCCAGGTCACCTTGAATAGAATAAGACCTAAGCTGGTCTTCTTGTGAAAAAATATCCTAAATGCTTCCCACGGAAAACAGAGAAAGGGAAAGGGTGGTCAACTTGCCCTGATGCTTGAGAATTGTTCAAAGGGTTTCTTAAGGGAGTGATTCACTGTAATTGAGAAGAAATCACGGAGATGCATTGTGTTATCGATCATTGTAGTAATCTGTCCAAACCCATGCAATGTATTGTATCGTCCAAAATACCCCAAATTTGCTCCTCTCACTGTTCTTGTGGAGATGTCCCTTTGTACTGTATCTTAGTTTTTTTGTTAAAGTGCATTATGTAACATTGACAATCAGGTTTCTATTTTTCTACCCAATGCAAAAATTGCATCCTGGATTTCATTCTCCTTGAAGATTTGTTTTCCATGTTTCCCTTGGGATGTTAGTGATCTAAAACCATTTTAGGTTATCTCCCTTCTACGTAAGATAGTGAGGGATGGAAGCCCACTATTTCCTCCGATGTGACTCATTGAAATATATCCTCTCCAAAAGTTTTACAGTTGTATTCTTATTGAAATGTATCCTTTCCAAAAACTCTTTTTCTTTCGCTGACAATCATAACTCTGGGTTTCTTTCCATAGTGCATATACTATGCTCCTGTGGAGCATACTATATATGTGCTCCCTTGTCCGAATACCTACTTGGGTGTTTATTTATGTATTTATTTTTTAATCTAAAATTTTGCAAACCACCTAATAGTCACTAGATGATTATTTTTAGAGGGAATTTTTTTTTTTACTTTTCTTCATTATCCAAAACTAAGATGGTCTTAGTTCTATTTTGAGACTTTTTTCAACTTTATAGAGAGTGCACTTTGGTGTATTTTTTGTTGAAGTTAGTCTATATATTGAAGAGGTTACATAGTTGAAGTTTGTGGTCCTAAAATTATTCCCAGACTGAGTTTGATCCAAGGGAGTACATAGACAGTATATTCCTTCCAGAGTATCTTCTGCCATTTAACCATGATCTCTAGTGCCAATCAATCTCTTCTTTTCTTATGAAGCTGAGGGTAAGTTTCTAGTACCTCTATGCTAGCCTTAACCTCCATTGAGAGAGTGGATTCTGTTACTTTTGTCTGATTTGATAATCTCCCCTAGGACCTTGCCCTTTCTCCTCAAGTCACTAAAAATAGTCTTGTTCATTTGGTGTTCCTCCTTTGTTCTAAATTCCACCCACCATTCTTTATGTTCATTCCTAGAAGGAAACCATGCAAAATGTTAGTTGGTTTGTGGAATTGATATTGTTTGCTCTCTTTAAGTTGGGTTATTATCTTTTTAACACTGATATGGATGCCTCTTGTCGTGATTGCTGCATATGGGCTGTGGATCTGACGACCATGTTTCATAGCAGCTTTCCTTCACAAACCTGCATATCACTGGTGTGGAATGGGGGTTCTTCATAAGTTATTATTTTTAAGGAACATATTCTAGCAATTCGTTATATTTCCATTGTAGAAATTGGTGCATTAGTTGCTCTTCGTCAAAGGTTTAATGCTTGAGTCAATGTTTTATTTGATTGATTTGGTTATTCACTTTTCTTCGTTTGCTTTTAGATATGCACATGATACCATGCATGATGCAAATAGTTATTATTAAAACCACTGTTCTTACATATTTTTCTTCTTTTTGTTTTTGACGAATTTAGGGAGCTCCAGCTCATTGGAATCAGTACCTGATCTTGTGAAGGCAATGTATATAGTCGTTGATGGTTACCCTTGTGTGCGCCTTCTCAACCTCTCTGGTGAAATTGGCTGCGCAAGTAGGCATCACGAACATTTAATCTCTTTGTCCAGAAAATAGAGAAAGGCATTTGATGATGCGCGTGTCATGATATTACCTTTGCAGAATTGCATATTTAATCGACATATTTTGTGAATTTTGTAACTTCCTGGAGTTATGTAACAATATTTTAGGAATAACACAGATTTTTGAGCACCCACTGTCTGGGGCCTAATGGTTGTCTATGAAGATAATACTTGGTTTGGCATTCTTGGAAAATTATTTACTAGTCCTTGATATATCTGGGAAAATTTGGGGTATTTGTCATTTGCACAACCATTTTATTTACATAGATTAGAGTGGTTTGCTATCAAGAACTTCTCGTCATTACTACCAATGTCTATATGTACATGTTTATTTGTGTGGTAACATGTATTATTATTCTTTGGGAACAACTGTAAGAAGGTTGTGCTTTATAATTATGTTCTCTTCTGCAGACCCTGGTCATGAAAAGGTGGTTGCACCCATTGTAAAGTACCAGAGCATTAATGAAAGTCTCAGTCGCCCATCTGCAATTCTGGTGCCATCAGATGATATTATTGGTTTCTTCAACAGGTGTCTTCCTTATGTCTTGCATATTTCCTTTCCATTATTTAATCTTGTTCTGTGTTGGGCTTATTTATCATGACATACATGTGATATTTGAGTTGTCTTTCAATTGTTCAGTACTGGGAACCTGACTTTGTTATATGTTTATTATAAGACAACTGGCTGATCAAGCACTTGATGCAATGGGAGGCCTTTGGAAAGGGTCTGGCAATTGGATAACAAATTCAGAAGATGAGATTTATCTTATGAAACCTTAAGCACAAAATATTAATGAATAAATTGCATGAGATTGAATTAGATGGTTTTCTTATTAGTTCCATTTAACAGTAGCATTAGTAAGAAATATAAATTTCTGCATAGAGGTTCTGTAGATGGTTCTTTGATGCCTTCATTTCAAGTGGAAATTTTTTTTTATTATCACCAAGTTCAATGGATTGGTATTGTATATTTTAGACTGTTAAGGAAGCTTATGACTTTCTGAAGTGGGGCTAACTAGGGCTTTCTATGCTATATCCTGTGGAAAATTCGATGTGGTGGGTGGTGTATCAATTGGATGACGTATTTCTCTTTCTCAATAAAATGTGAGACCATGTCTGGAGTAGAAAAGGTCTTAGATAGAGTGACCAACTGGCGTGTTACCCCTTTACCATAATACTGTTATAGTTGATTCTTTAAATAAGTTGTTGAATAGGTGATTATGGATGGATCATTGTGGATTTTCCTTGAAAATTAGTATTGAGATGGCATTCGACATTGAATTTGTTGATTACTAAATAGTACTTGTTGACATTCCGGCTAATCGGGCCTATACTTTGAAGTTCATGCCCAGAAGAGGTGCTTTTGAATGAGAACCACCTCTGCGCCTCACTATGTTAGAACTAAGTGTGCTTGGGTTTGGAGTATATTGCCCTGAATTTCACTCAACCAAGGTATCCCATGTTGCACCAAAAGTGGGTAAACTGTATTCATGTCCTGATACATGCAAGCAAATGAATCTTGTAGGCTGACTTTGGGTGAATCTAGGTAGTGATCGTTGAGGCATCAATGTGGATACAGTTTTGCTTATGAGTCCTGTCTCTACACAGTGATCGTCAAGCCTTATCCGAGTTATTTGGGGTCAGCTACATGAGTCCTGTCTCTCCATTCTTTCAAGATTCATGATAAGGTGTGGCAAAGTTTTACGTTTCTGCCTACCACCTCCTTTACCCAGGTTTGGGATGGGTTAAGGGACAGTTTAAGGTCTTCACCCTTATTTGTTCCACAGTCTTGCTTATATATGTTATTCTAAAATCTTGCACTCAACTTTCATGGGGTTGGATATTACATAAATTATTCTGGGCAGCCTTAGTAACTAAGTTTATATGGGACATATTTGTTTGCATTAGAACATATTCATGATTTAGAGTAACAAATTTATCAGAATGGCCGCTCATTACAAGAGTTTGGAGTTGAAGAGGGATTCACAATTTTTCTTTCTGATAGTTTCAGTTTTGAACTATGCAAGACCACAGTTTTCAATACAAGGATGCAATCCCTAGGAAACAAGAACATGGGTATTTGAGCAAACCCGATCCCAACTTCTCTGCAATTCATTGTTGTTTGAGGAAACAGATCCATTTTCCCTTTCTGAATCTCAATTAGGATTCTAGATTGGGGATGCTACGCTTGTTACAGTGTCTTTAACTACGGATAAAACTCTTGGTGTTTAATTGTATGATGTTCTTTCTTATTTTTGTTATGATGCTTACCAGAATTGGACATTTGGTTTTGTAAACATCATATGTGGCTTTGCCTTGAGTTGAATATGCTCTTTGTATCAAGTAACTATAGAAGGATCATTTCCTTTTGTTTCCCCATTTCAGGGTATCATCTGATTTGCCCTATGCACAGAGGGTAGCGGGTGTTTTGATTGAATCTGGCACCTATTACCAAAATGGAACAGGTCAGTGTATTATAGTATACCTCCTATCTCTTCTTGGAATTCAGAAATGTTTCTTCTCTATGAGCATATCCGTTCAATGGAGACAGATTTCAATCATTTATCGTCACTGTGGAAAAGTATCTTTTCCCTGTAGGTTTCTCGCCAGTTGAAAAGTTTCCACAGGCTGAGTTTGCACCCTACAAGAATGTCACCTATGAATGGAATCCTATTGTGAGTATTGAATCAATCATATTGAGGTTTCTATAGAATAACAACGGTAGTAACAACAGTACTTAATTGGTAGAACCAGTCGGTTCATCTATTTTAATGGTTTAATTTCAGATGAGTCTTTGCAGGGATCAAATATTATGCAGAACCACTATGCGTTTCCTGTGTTTCTACTTTCTCGGAATAGCACATTGATCTTGAGGGAGGTAAAAAGATCTCTGTATTCTTCTTTCCCTTTGACTTGAGTCGGCTTATGTGGAAGGTATGTTATGTAGTCCTGTTGATTTGGAAGGGATTTTGTCTAATCTTGAGACATTATGGCATCTGTCTGTGAACTCTCTCTCTCTCTCCCTCTATATATGTATTCATACATATGTGTATGTATGTATGTGTGTGTATATGTATGTATGTATGTGTGTGTGTGTGTATGTATCTATATATATTTACATATACACACACACACACTAGTAAAACACACCTTTTTTGCAGGTCTCACAGAAATTTATGAGTTGTAATGTGGTGAATGAGAAAATATGACTTTGTCTCTCTTTATGGTATGTAATTGAATTTTAGACATTGGTTAGCAAAAAGAGTAAGTTATTTATGTTACATTTTATAAATAACAGATAAAAGTTTGATATAGCTAACAGATAAAAGTCTGATATAGCTAATTATGTAAATCATAATTAATTCAACTATATATTAGACGTAATGTGGTGAATGAGAAAATATTACTTTATCTATCTCTTAATGCTATGTAATTGAATTTTGGACATTGGGTCGGAAAATGAGTAAGTTATTTATGTTATATTTTATAAATAACAGATAAAAGTTTGATATAGCTAATTAAATAAATTATAATTAATTCAATAATTATGTAAATAAGTATAATTATGCAATTATAGGTTAATAATAATATAATTATAACTTCCAAATTTATAGTAATAGGAAAAAGCTGGGATTAGCCCACTAGCTCATATGAACATATGAGCCCAATGGCTCAGATTGAATTTGGGCCGATCTGACGATCACAAATGTCCGGTAGTGTTTGAATTTTATTTTATTTTCCACAAATCCAAATCACTTGAAATTTTCGGTGTGTTCCTCTCATCAAGGCGCACCTAATAAAAATATAAAAAAAATTATTTTCAAAAAATAAAATGACCAAAATACCCCCCAAAACTTTTCGGGGGTATTTTGGTCAATTTATTTTATGTAAAATATTTTTTTGATTTTTTTCCAAGATTCACCTATTTTTTATAAACACGTCTAAAATTTCAAGTGATTTGGATTTATAGAAAACAAAATAAAATTCAAACATTACCGGACATCCGTGGTCGTCAGATCGGCCCAGATTCAATCTGGGCCGTTGGGCTCATATGTTCATATGAGTTAGTGGGCTAATCCCAGCTTTTTCCATAGTAATATATGTTTGTTATTCTTAATAGTATTTTATAAGATAGTCATGATATTTAATCATGGTTCTAATTATTTGTGCAATAGTTATAATATTAATATTGTTAGTAATGTTTATGTAATAATTTTGGAAAAAGTGTATATAGAGCCGAGACTCTAAACAATCAAATTAGAGCCCACCTCAAAAATTTCACTAAACGGGTTGTTTTGATACCCAAATATCCTCAAATTGATCATCTCGGCATCAAGATGCATGGATATGAGAAAGAAATGGATTTCAAGTTTTGGAAGTGGTGCATCTTGTAACGCATTTTTGGATCGTCAATTTTCAAGTTTTCATAGATCTGCTCGATGTACACTATTTTTGAAGCTTTAAATTTTATAATTAGAAATGAAAATATATTTTAAAGCTATCACAAAGATTTCCAGTATCGAAACATTATTTCTCGACACTATTTGAAGGTGGGCTCAAATTTGATTGTTTAAAGCCTCGGCTCTATACAAACCACATCCAATAATTTTTAATATTATAATATTTACATATAATAATAATTAATAAGTTCTTAAAAGATCCCAATGCATTAGCTAAAAATTTCCCAAGAATTGGGAAGTTTACATTATTTTATTTTAAAATTTGAGATAATTATCTATATCTACATGCTAGATATAGGTAACTAATAAACATCACATTGATAAATAAGATAACATGCCATGAAAAAGACTTTCCATCACTTTTTCTATCTACATGAAACCCACCATCCAGAAAGAAAATAAGACAAATTAATTTTATTTAATATTGTAGTAAAACATTATAAAAAATACTTAAATTTAATATTATGTCATTTAATAAAATATTTATATATTATATGTTGGGCTTTATATGTTATTTTATATTATAATTTGTTTTTATTCTATAAGTTGGAATTCTCTTTATTTCTATGATTGATAGTTTCCACATAAGTTCCCATATAAAAAAGTGCTAATATTTCTAAACAACGGGAAAAGAGAAAAAAATTCTATCCTACAAAATGTAAAAAGAGATATGTGACAAAATCGGTGTACCGTAAAAATTAGTGGGGCAAAATCAGCATTCAAAAAGACATTGTCGCAAGAATAAAAGGAATCATTGGCATTCTAAAAATAAATAAATGGGATCACCTTCTCGCATAATGTATAATAGATACATATAGGGGGATGTTTTACATACAAAAGAAGTTTAAGAAGTTTATATAAGGTGTTAATCTTATACTGTAGAAGTAAGGTGCACCTAAAAAATCTACTCTAAAATCTTGTTTCAACGTCGAAATATCCTACAATTGATCATCTCGACCTCGAGATGGATGGATATGAAAAAAATGATTCCAAGTCCTAAAAAAGGTGCATCTCGTAACAAATTGTCTAGACCGTCCATTTTAAAAAATTGTCTAGACTTCCATCCGCATCACCATCTGAGCCTTATTCCAACTATTTAAGGTTGGCGATAGTAATCCTTTTCCGCCAACAAGATTCATGATAGGGATGTGGGCAAAACTTTTCTGATGGCTGTCACCCTAACACAAGCCTCCTCTTTTCTCATTAGGGCTTGGGATCGGCAATGGTAGAAACCAATGGTTTAAAAAGCGGATCGGTGACCCAGATCGGGCACCTCAAAAACCGATCCGGATCGGTGAATCGGCAATCCGGATCAGGAATAGGCTGAATCGGTCGAATTAAAGCTTCAAAAAAATCCGAAAAAATTATTAAAATTCATTATAAATGTTGTTTTTTAGGAATCCAATAAGAAATGAGGGTACTACATTATTAACTTTCATTTTTTTCATCAATTTGTGAATATTGAGATGTTCTTTCCCTGTATGAACTTATGTTGACCATTAAATTTACATCACACAAAAGAAATCATAGAATTATCATGGATTAATTATATAATCATATATGGACTACAATAAAGAGTTGACTAAATCGATGAAAATTTGGCCACTAAAATTTCGAATTGGCAAAAAACCCTAATCCGCTAATAAAACCCAAATTATTACAACTTAACTAACTATAATATTATATACCAACAATATTTTATAATTATTTTATTATATAAATAATAACAAATCCAAAATATTTTATAATATCTTCTAATTTAAAATGTATTATTGACAACTGTAAGAAAAATAATACACTACATGATTTATAATACAAAAATTAATAAATAAAATAAAAGATTTGGTTATCAATGTAGAAATTATTAGAATGCGTACCAATTTTCTTTAATTTTTTAGGTTTCTAGAATAAATTAGTGGAAGAGATTGTTAGTAGAAAGAGAGATATTTCAAATGGCCTCATTGTATGAATCCTATCTTTAAATTAATATTACTAAATTTATGTTAAAGACCATCTTGTTATAAAAATAAAAAATATAATTAGACCATTTATTCCTTGGTTGTATGAAGAAATACCTTTTATTTTTTTGACAAGAAATACTTATTGTGTTATCTTTTATTTTTTTTTACAAGAAAAATATGATACTTGTTGATTATCTTTGTCTTTTTTTTTTGACAAAAGAATGTCTTTTTTTTTTGACAAAAGAAAAAGATGTTGTACTACATTTCTTTTTACTTGTATTACTTTTTATTTTTTTTTACAAGAAAAATAAAAAAATGATGCTGCCAATGTACATTTTATTTTTTTATGCCTTTTGTTTTATTTTTTTTGCAAGAAATACTTGTTATATTACCTTGTATTTTTTTTACAAGAAAAATAAAAAAATGTTGTATTATCTTTTTTATCTTTATCTTGAAAAGCCTTTTATTTTATATTTTTTCTATTTTTTTACAATAATATTTTTTCCTTTGTTTATTTTTTTTGACAACAAATTGTATTTTTTTTACAAGAAAAATAAAAAAATGTTGTATTATCTTTTTTATCTTTATCTTGAAAAGCCTTGTATTTATATTTTTTCTATTTTTTTATAACAGTATTTTCTGCTTTTGTTTATTTTTTTGACAACAAAATTTTTTTTGTATTTTTTGGTTGTGCGCTAAGGGGTTCGAACTCAAAAAAAAAAAAATTTGTTGTGCGCTAAGGGGTTCGAACTCAAAATATTTTTTGGTGTTTGCTATGGGGTTCGAACTCAAGACATACACCCAAAATTCGGTGTTGTCAACCAACATGGCCATGTCGCCACATGTGATTCTTCTAGCTTCCATAATAATATATATTCAATGATATTGCTTTAATGACTTTTTGTGAGAATTATCCCACATCGAAGGATGAGTGTTGCTTGGTTCTCTATAAAGTCATGTGTATTAGACTTTCTGTTATGCCTGTAGAAACGTGAGGGAGGCAAACGTGAGATGAGTTACCACGTGTGGCCACGCGTCACTCTCGTGCGGTGGCGACGTGTCACTCATGTGAGGTTGCCACGTGTAAACCCAAAAAAAATACCGGTTTTTTCTTTGAGACTCGCGATTCACTATTCGGAATCGCCCGGTTCTCTCTGGACACGGGCGATTCCCGGTTTTTTCGTGGAACCGGCTCGATAGCAGGCGATTCCCGAGTCGAACCGGGCGAGTCCGGCTCGACTCGGCGAGTTTTCAAACACTGGCAGAAACCGTTTTTAAAACTTTAAATTTCATAATTAGTGGTGAAAATATATTTTTAGGTCATTGTAAAGGTTTATGATACATGTATTGCATCTTTTCGAAAGATTTAGAAGTGCACCTTACTTTGATTGTTTAAGGTCGACGCCTTATGCAAATCACACCCATTATATATGTCTGTATGTGTGTGTGTGTGCGTGTGCGTGCTGTATGCATGAGTGCGTGCATGAGTGTGCACACTCGAGTGTGTGCATGTGTATGTTATGCTATCTTGCGTGTGTGTACGCGTGTGCGTGTGCACGTATGTTATGCTCCTGCATGTGTGTAATTGGGCATGCATGCCTGCGCATGTGGGAACATATCGTATGCTTGCTCCCATGAGTGAAACTGTTACGTGGGAGGATTCGATATGAAATTTTGATATCTACCTAGAATCACAAGATGACTATTTTCCAAAGAAGAATTTGGACTTACGAGTTCTTCAACAGTTTGATCTTACTCTCCAAAATTTAGACAGTCTCCATCGAGTCTTAGATTGGGGTTGTCCACTAGGTTGAAGAGGTTACACCTGCAAAATTTGGTGTCCTAAAATGACTCCTAGATTGGGTTTTTACATGAGGGGAGTAAATTGACAGTATGCTCCTACAAGTGCAGAATCTTGACGTATATATATATACACACACATACACATACACATATTGACGTATGCATGTATATGTATGAACAATTCTGGTTAAACTACCTTTCAAGATCGTTAAGATAGTCAGCTCATCCCAATTTGACATTTATCGTGTTAGTTTCAAGTTCCATTTCAATTAGGTGCCTCAAAACACGTGTTAAAGAGTGGCCAAATTGCACATCTTCAAGATTGGGAACCCTGAACAAGCGATGGCAATTTGGTTTCGGTCCGCTTAAGTGGACCTAGGTTCAATGACAATAACAGCCCAGTTGTCCAAGGTTAGTAACATTGAACTGCCAAATGTCGACAATACCTTTGGTTGTTTGGGGTTAGCAACATAGAACTCAGTGTTTTCCATTGTAAAATCTTTTTTCATGTTTCTAACCTTGAACAACTGAGGTCATTGATGTCATCTTGCTCAAGCTATGTAGGTGGAGCCAAATTACTAAAATGCCCCTACTTGTTTAGGGTTCCCATTCCTGAAACAAGGGGCAATTTTGTTATTTTTCAATGTACTCTTTGAAGAGGCATCTGATTGAAATGAAACTTAAGATTTAACACTCCTAATGCTAAATAGGGTCATTTGACTGCTTAAATGATTTTGTAAGGTGGTTTGACCAATTGTTTGATCTTGTCCCTATCTATCTATCTACATGCACACACACACATATCATAGATTCGTTAGTGGGATTCGTTTTTGCTGTATAATCTTCTCGTTCATGTATATTGTATACTGGTCTACGACATTGTCTTTGCTGTTCTTGATCTGCTTGTTTATTACATCATTTGACCAGGTTGCTGCAAAGAATGAGAATAGCATCAAAGACTATCCTGTGGATGTTGCAGAGTTTGACCTGATTATGCAGGTAAGAGGCTACACCTGCTGACTGTTTGCAAAGTTCTTATCTTTGTGTCATGTGAATTGACGTTCAGTTGTGCCTTGCATCTCTTTCACATTTTCCAACTGGTTTGGCATAGACAACGAAAAGTGGAACTCACAATTCAGAATCTTGTCTGAAGGAGCGGTCCTGCCTCCCTTTGGGTGGATACAGGTGAGATCAGTTCATTCATGCATTATATGTTTTCAAGCTTATACTTAAGAGAAATCACTTTTATTTTTTCTAGGATAAGCAAAGTATCAGAAGCATGAGGTTAGTGTGTGATTATTTATTGATCATCATCATCATCGAAGCATTTTCCAACTATTTGGGATTGGCTACACGAATCCTGGGTAGCCATTCGTTCTATCAAGTTCCATATATCCGACGCCTTAGCATAAGCAGATAATATAGATTCAGGATTCATGTAAAATTTTGGTAAAATATTTGCATTGGCTGACTACCTTATATATCCCACCTCCTTTACCTAGGCTTTAGACGGGTTAAGGGAAAGTTTAAGGTCCTCACCCTTCTTAGGCCATGTGTGATTATTTATTATAGTTGGATATTTTAATCTATGAAATGGCCCACAATCCCATCTATTTCAGTTATATAATTATCTGAACTTGTGGTAAGTCATCCATCAGAGTGGATTGTATATAAAAGAGTGGAAGTTTTACAATTTATAAATTGTAAAAGAGTATCAGTTCCATGGCAGAGAGCTACCCTTTCTTCTGTAAAACTGATGGCTAATGGATTAATTTGTTTTATCTGTTTCTTTCTTGGCTTGTATTGGTTTGCTTTTAACCATTCTTGTTGATTTTCCATTTGATGCATTCTTTGAAATCTAAGTTAATGTTTTCTCAGGTTCCCTGCAGACAAGCAGTTGTTTCCATCCTATTTATTTATTTACTTTATCTTTTTGTTTGTTTGTTTGTTTGTGTATTTGCATGTGCGCCCATGTGTGTGCTTTGGGAGAAGGGTCGTTAGATAAATATATTTCCAGATCCTTTTTAAGTTGAAATATATGGCCATTGTGAGTTTCAAAAACAAAGTATATAGCCATTGTGCATACTTTAGGTCACAAGGCATACATAGGAAGCTTGTGTTCTTTGTCCATGAGATAAGGTTAGGACAGGTGGGACATTTATTTCTCCTTCCCCTTTTCTTCATTGTAGGGTGTAAGGGTGCAGGATGTAAGTTGGCAATTGTCATATGTGGTGAGGAAGTGTTGAGTAATAAATTGCATCAGTAGACTTGGTAATAGGTGATATTCGGTCATTATTTAGTATTTTCACAATTTGATTTTAATGGAGAATATGGGGTGCTGTGATTAGTAGTTGATTTGCTTTGCAAATCATAGTCTATTAACAATTAATTCCATAGAGTAGGTGATTTGTCAGCTCAGAGATCCTTATTAAAAGCGGAAAATCCTTGAAGGAGAACTCTCAGTTGCATATGGGTGCTACTTTTCCAGTGATAAGACTTCATACCCTATCATAGCTTAGATTCTGGGAGTTTATTCCCTTTGGTTTGATCTAGATTCAATGGATATGGAATCTCTTATGTCAATCTTTAGTACTTTTCCTTGTTTGAGAGAACTGTGAGAAGGGAAGACTTTCAGACATTATCATGACCAACTAATGGAGTTTTGTTTAACAATGGCAAGTATGTCAATGAATTTTAGATTTTAGCAGGTGAATGTCCAGTGCCTTAGACTTATGCAAGTTGGACATATCTGCATTTTCATGAACCACTGGTTTTATTTTTCTTTGGGTAAAGAAAGAAGCATAACTGTATACATTAAGTTGCATAAATTTGATATGCTAGGCTGATTATGTCTTTACTTGTCACATACATACCAACTAAGGCTGTGCATTATTTAGAAAGAGCCATTTTAAAAGATCCCTTCTGAGAAACTCTTCAATATAGAAGTCAATCTGGCATCTTTGCAATAAAAAAGTTGAACTCCGTTGTTTATTAGTGTTTTTGGAAGTCCTTTGTGGATTGGATTCAGTTTGACGTGCTTTCATTTTAAGGCTGACATTGACCAATTCTTCAAACAAACATTGAGTTTCCATTACTTGGCAAAAAGTAAAATTTATTGCTGTTGCATTGTCCTTAATTTTAACCTAGAGTTGATTTTTTCTGACACCTGAAGGGCAGTGTCTGGTCTTCACTACCACCTATTAACATTTCCTCATCGAGCCCTGCAAAACCAATTATATTTGCTATGGCATCAGTGGATTCTGCATCTCTTTTTCGGGACAAAAGTCTTGGAGCAGATTCCTCGTTGTCTGTAAGTTATGGTTTTAGATTTCAGTTTCAATTGTCCATTGATTCTTATATATATTGTGGTTTTGTTTGATGAGCTCCTGCCAAAATGATTGACTGACCTTTGAATTTATTGTAGGGATTGATTGCCTTGCTGGCTGCAGTGGATGCTCTTTCCCATATTGATGGTGTCAATGATTTAAGGAAACAAGTAATTCTTTTTAAACATTTTCTCTTTACACAACTCGTTTCTTGGTGGTTGAGGATTGGGCATATGTGACTATTTTCATGATATGTTGATTTAAGGCTATCATTTTAGCAGCAACATCAAGGTCTATATGTACCTGTCATTTTTTTCTATTAGATTGAAGTCCAGGAGTACCATCCCTTGACAAAACCTGCTTCAATGTCTTGAGTTTCTTTGGCCTTAAATATGTAAGGAAATAAATCATGTTGTATGGTGTGAAGCTGTTAAGATCTTTGACACCACTAACACGTTCTCATTTTATGCCATATTGGAATCTTATTAGATTGTGTTGATATATTGTAGGAATACATATTCTGGAAAGGGTGTAGAGACTAAGAGAAGTGTAAAGTGAAGGAATTTGTATAATGGCCATAATTGAAAAGATTTTACTTCTATCATACACAACTTTCAAAATGGAGAATGTGTGCAGAGAGTTGAATCCAGTCGATCACATTTTTATTTAGTACAAAGTCCTGTAATATATTTCAGTTGGGTCTATTATTTGTTTAAACGTTTTTATAACTATAACCGTATGGAGCAACATGTTCTCCTCCTCATCCAGTGGGTATGGTCCATTTAGGGGTGTCATTGAGTGAGCCAAGCCAAGCTTGCATATGAAACGTGGCTTGCATGCGTAGAGGACCAGCTTGATCTTGGCTTGGCCTTACATTTTCACTCAAACACACCCACAAATGTACTCAAATCATAAACAATCCCAGGACAAGCCCATAAATGGTGCAATATACAATATAATATCCATATTACACGATGTACAAAGTATTTCATTTTTTTTTTGGTATATATTGTATACATTGTTTTTTGGAAGTGTTAACTGTAGTATATATTGTGTACATTTTATACAGTGTATATATAATTTTTTGATGGAGAGCAAAATTATTCTTATTTTATGTATATATAATTTTTTTGATGGAGAGTAAAATTATTCTTATTTTATATTTTTATTCAATTTCAAAGGATTTATATTATATTTTTAGGATTAGGGTTTATTTCTAAGGGTTTTAGTTTTTTAGGAATTCTAGGGCTTTTATATATATTTTTTATTTATTTCATGAGTACTATTCACAAGTACTGTTCATGAGTACTATTCACAGGGGTAAAAAACTGTCATTACCAATTTTAAGTTTAAGTTAGGATATATGGGTCAATGTATTATTTTTTTGGACAATTTTTGTACTTGGAACATTAAATTATAATATGTAAAAAAGTGTGTGGGGCCTTGAGGGGGTCATCCACATGATTTTTAGAACTTGAAAGAAAGAAAAAAAAAAAAAAGTTTAGGCTTTTGCAACTCTAACTTGGGTGTGGAGAAGAAACCCTAGATTTCTTTGAATTGTGCTTGTGTTTTGCTTTTGTTCTTGCTGTTTTTATTGTTCCTCAAGTTTCTCTACATTATTTTTATTCAAGCTCTTGTCGAGATTGAGCTTGGCTTGTTTAATAAATCAGCTAGTGGTCAGCTTGACTTGGCTTATCGAACATTGCACAAGCTTGACTCATTATGCACCAAATTGATAACTTCGAGCTGGCTTGGCTTGTTGATAACCATAGGTTCATTCAATCATGGTTTCTGAGAACTGTCATATTACTCAGCTGTGAGTGAATGAGACTTATTTTTAGTTGTCAATGTTTTTCAGCAGTTTGGGATCACTTTGAACCACCTAGTTCGGATGTTATATTTAGCAATGTATGTAGTTGCACTCCTATGTGCAGTGTTTTCTTCTTGAATCTTGAACAATACGTGAATATGATAGTTTGTTGCTATCTTGATATTTGTCCGTTCATCTCATATGATGATAACCCATCCATATCTTGTATGCTATTAAACATCCAATTATTGATGCTTACTATTTTTCTATGCAGCTCGTTTTCATGGTATTCACAGGAGAAGCTTGGGGTTATCTTGGCAGCCGTAGGTTTCTTGCTGAACTTGATAATGTTGGACAGTCGGTTGATGGTCTTAACATCACTTTGATTGAGCAGGTACCTTTCACTTTTTAAGATGTCTTCTATATTTTTTTCTTTTTCTACATCATCTTTTTTATCTCTGTATGTATTCATTTCTGGCATCATTTAGAATATGCACACTGTTTTAAGTAAGATTTTAAAGTCTGTTCTAATCCATGATGACAGCCAAGGGTTGTTAGTGTTATAGTGATTGTCACAACTTGCATAATGGCTGTTATTTTTAAAAACTATGCATCGTTTAGAGTGTTTACTGCAACAGTCTGCTACCATTAGAACAACTATTGTAATTGTGAGTTATCATTTTCTTTTGAAAACCTTTGTGTAACAATGCTTTAGTATGTAAGTTATTGGATAGTCTCTGTAGTGGCACTAGTATGTAAGTTAGTCAAAGCCAAATATTATGCAGCTGGAAGTGAATCCTTTTATAGTTATTTCTTGTTAGTAAGGGATCTCAAAAAACAAATATTTTAATGTACTTTGTAACTGTGTTGGTTTTCCCTTTCTTAGGTCCTGGAAATTGGATCAGTTGGGAAAGGCATGACAGAAGGGGTCGCAACTTTTTTTGCTCATTCTGGAGAGGTGAAAAAATTAATGCATTCTGAATTCTGAGGCTTTTATGTTGGTGTAGGTTTTGTCATGTGCTCACATGTTTCTTGACATCGCTCATTTAATCCTCACTAGGATTGCCCTAGAGTGCATCCTCTATGTATGTTTGTGTGTGTATGCACTCATGCATGCTCATATGTATAGTTTTAACTTGCAACAACATTAAGCCAGAATGTCATTTTGAATTACTCAATGACCAGTTGAATATATAACATACTGCACGTAGATCATGGTGTATTTATCTTATTTTTCCTATGTAGAATTCTTCAGCAACAATGGATACACTGAATGCTTTACAACTGGCAGCCGGCTCATTTAATACTGAGAGCATTCAGATAAAAAATGCAAGCTCTTCAAATCCCGGCATTCCTCCATCATCTTTGATGTCTTTCATGAAAAAGGTAATGCTATTGTTATATGAAGTATCATTATACTAGCTCCATCCAGGTTGTTCTATTCAGGCAGTACCGGAACCATCCCTTTTAATATTCTATTAGTGAAACAGTTTTGTTATTCCAGGATATTTCCGGGATGTTCTGCTTCCAGTATGTTTTTAACTTTTGTTGTTGAATATTTACTGAGGTAACTCAAAGGTTTTGCATATTAATAAAACTTACTATGTTCTTCATCGTAGTAATAGACTTTCATTTCTAATTATCGCAATCATGATTTCTAAGTTTGACCACCTTTTGTGATTTTGTGTTTAATACTTATTACACCCTTTCGTGTTTGTCATTCAACTGTTTATTCACCATCCTCAAGTTTTTTTCAAAAAAGCTCAATAGCGACAGTAATTTATCAAATTTTTATAATGGCTCTGAGGTGAAATTCTGTCCCTTTTGGCAAAACCAAGGGCATTTAACAATGAGTGTCCTATACCACCAATAAGTTGGAAACTGTGAGCTTATAATGTGCTACTTGAATTGTGGACATTATGATGTTTTTCTATGAAATATTGGAAGTATGAAAAACTTAAAGAACTAATGGTTGGTGTGTTCATGCTGCGGGTGTACTTTGGAGCTCTCTAAACCCCATTCATTATGTACCTAATATATTCTGTAGTTTTTTTTTTTGAGATAATATTCTGTAGTTGGAAATGAAATGTGCTGATTTTATGAGCCAAACAGGTACAGACCTTTTTTGTGATTTACTGTTGCTTGGAAAATAAGTATATCCTGATAATCTGACATGTTGCTTAAATAGATAAGCCTGGCACTTTTTCTGTTGACTGGAAAATTCCCTGGCATAGATTCTAATCTAGGATAATAGAACTAAATGTTAGTTTCTCAAAATTTAACGGGTCACCCTCTCTTGCTAGTTCTGACCAGAACTTCAACGCTTTGTTCCCTGATACACTCTTTCTTATTTACAGAACTCTTCAATATCAGGGGTTGTTGTTGAGGAATTTGACACAGCTTTTTCCAACAAATTCTACCACAGCCACCCGGATGATGCTTGTGCGCCACTATTTCTTGAAATTCTTTGCAAATCAAAACAGTCCCATGTCTTATGGAAGACAATTGTCGATTCGGAACTAGCCATCATTGAAATGATGGAAGTTGTGAAGAGCGTGGAGTCTCCATGTGGCTCATGTCCTGTTCTGTTGACTCTCATTCTCAATCACAGCCCATCATTTCATCAGATGATGAAGACTCAAATGAACTGTTGTCATCCATACTCCATTGAAGCATCGTATGCTTCTATTAAAAATATCTTGGTACTCTTCACTGCTACTACTTTCCTCTTTGAGATTAATACCCTCTTTTTTTCATCTTCTTGCTGTGCAGCAAATATTAACTCTTCATCAATAGTGGCAGCCGCATCTTTGGTTGCTAGGGCACTTTACATACTTGCTACCGAGGGGTCAAAACTTAGCACTCCGACTCTTCAATCCATTAGCATCAACATCACTCTTGTTAATGACCTTGTGGGATGCCTATTGACTTGTGAACCAGGACTTTCTTGTGAATTGGTGGCCAAATACATCTCTCCTTCGCAGATTTGCCCCAATCACTATGTTGGGGTTATGATCAGTTCACCGGAGGCGCCACCCCAACAATATGCAGATGATACGTCTAGGTTTGTTTGGAACTTTTTAGCAGATAGGACCTCTACCCCAAGAGAAAATGGTAGCAATTCGGATTGCTCACAAGGTTGCGAGGGCGTGGATGAAGTGTGCGTTGGCGCTGAAGTGGGTGGCAGGGGAGTGTGTGTGCTCTCTACCACAAGGTATTCACTTCTTTGATTATGGTTCTGTCTTATGAAGTAAGTGATTCTCATCTGGATTATTCGAAATTATGATCTTGTTTGAAGTTTTGTTTGTGAAATTTTAACTCAATAAAAACGAAACAAACGTTTTACTTTGTCCATGAAATTTTGTGGTTGTTGTTTTTCACCCTTCTCCAAATTTTGAACTCTGTTACTTTTGGCAACTGTTTTGAGTATTTTAGTCCACTCGGTTTTATGAAATTTTTTTGTGCATGTTGCGCTTCTTCTGTTGTTGAACAGTACTTTCATACCAAATGAATGACAATTTTGATCATTTGGTAAAATGCAAGATTAGGAGAAAAAAAATAGAAAAACCAGATTAAAGGAAAAAAGTAAAAGATAAGGAGAAAAACTGACGATATTACACTTACTTTACTACGATAAACCCTCAGATTAAATGAGGGACCAAATTGTTTTAGACAAAACGTGGGTATGCAACAGAATCACCAAAAATACCAAATCCTGACTCTCTCTCTCTCTCTCTCTCTTGTTTGATTAACTTGTTTGAGTTCCGATCTTTTCAAGGGTAGGGGACCCCTTCCCTGTTGATCTATCCAAAACAAATAGTTTCATTAACTATTTGCGAATTTGGTGATTGTTTTGCTATGTTCGTAGGTATGTACCAGCTTATTCAACTCGCTTGAAGTTTGAGTCAGGTTATTGGAGTGTGGTTCCAGCAAGTCATGGGGATGAAATGGGGGAAGTGGACCCTGTGTGGACAGAAAGCTATTGGAATACCATTGGGCTTAGGGTTTACACAGTACAGAGCAGGGCTTACGACCTCAATGTTTTGCTGGCTGGAATTGGGGTGACCTTTGCTTCATACGTTGCGATAGTTTTTACCCGAGCCACTCTCATGAAAGTCCTCAAGCATGATTGAGAGAGAGAGAGATTTAGAGATTTTGCTTTTTGTATTTGGGGAAGGGATTCATACAGCTATGGAGTTGAATGGCTTTTCCTATATTGTATTTTGTTGGATTTTCTGAAAAGCATCTCCCTTTTATTTTACCTCCACCATTTACTTCTTTCGGATTAGAGAATACGATGAAGTTCAGAAAGTGGCAAAACTAAAATGAAATAAAAAAGGAAAGTATTCAACAAAGTTCTATGCAGAAACTTAGGTTATTTTAGGTGGGAATTGAAAACCTCGGGTATTGGATCGGCTTCCATTGTACTAATTTCAAATTGCCAATTCATATCAGTTGTACTCTCGTATTTAAAAAGAAATAGAAAAGGGGTTGTTTAAGGATTATTTATCTTTTGTACATGGAGGTCACAATTATTTTTGTCTTTTATATTTCAAAATAAGTGGTTGTAAGAGTATCATTGATTAGACACAAAAAGTTTCAAAAAAGAATTTTTTGGATTTTACCACCCATCTCAAAACTGATTGTGACTTTTATGTACATGATAAATTCTCTTTGTAGACAATGCTAATTAAAAAATACATTTAGAATAAAGAATGTATAGAATGAGATTGTTTACATTTGATAAGATAGTATAGAATGAGATTGTTTACATATGATAAGATAAATTGTCTCTTTGTAGACAATTCTAATTAAAAAATACATTTAGAATATGAAATGTATAAAATGAGACCATTTACATTTGATACAAGGATATTTGATACAAGGATGTTACAATTAGTTACAACCATCCTATGTGAAATCTAATAGCTTCGAGGTAGGGAATGTGTATAATGAAACTATTTATCTTTGATACAAGGAGGTCACAATTAGTTACAACCATCCGATGTGAAGTTTAATAGCTTGATAGTGTCACAAAGTTTGAGATTTTTTTTTTTTGAAGTTTGAATTTGTTCAATAGAATAAATGTAGTCGTCCAATATTACATCCAATGGTTAAAATTAATTGAGATTGCTTTTTATCAAAGGTAAATGGTCTCATTGTGTACTTTTCCTTTAAAATATTACACAAAATGGGATTACCCAGATTTGCAATTTGATGAAATGAAATGCCACGATTTTCTTAATTGGGCGATTTATTAAAATATCAAATCTATTTGCAATTCTGTATGAGAATCGGCAGAGATTTGAAGAAATGAATTCCCGGGGTTCTCCGACAGTTGGGCGATTAAGTTGATTTGCAATTGTGTGTAAGAATTGGCTTTGACTATCTGCTGAATCCGATATGAATTAGCGATTCTCAATTTGAATTAACATTTTATTTTGAACCGCGGCTTTAGGTAATGGATTGGGTATTCTTCAAGCTAGTACAAGATAGGCTTTGATAATTACATTAACTAAAACGTGATTCTCAGATAAAGTGAAAAACAACGATGAAAACAATTTCACTAAGCAACCATAAATTTACATCACAGTAACATTCCTCAAAATATATAATGGAAACTAGCTCATGGAGCTTGTCCTAAACACTGGTGGAAACTGAAGCTAGCTTTGTTCATGCCCCAGCTTGCCAATACGAATGCACTTGTCCAGGATCTTGATCTCATATCACCTTCACCCTCCTAATCCCCACTTTTACTTATTCTTTGATTCAAATTCTAACTTAACACCCCAATGTATTCAGGACTGTGGTTGCACAATTCGAGCTATGGAAAAAGCTGCAGCCGAGGCTGCAGCCCCTATCAAAGCGGTTTGCAGGGCGGAGCGTATGGGGGTGTTTCCCGTAAGCCTTCCCTTCACGTAGCCGAAGAAGATGAGTGCGATTAGGGTAACAGCTACTGAGGCAAGCATGGCATCCTTTGCAGCACGGATGAAGAAGTAAGGGAGAAGGGGAACTAGGCCACCGACTATGTAGGCCAATGCAATGGTGATGGCACTCTCTACTGCTCTTCTTGGTTCCGGTTTCTCCAAGCCTAACTCGAACCTATGGCCCAAAAAAAAATTGGGAAAAAAAAAAACCAGTCATATTAGAAAAATGTGAAGATGGATTGGTATTTGTGTATTTTTAGCTCTTTCCTTTCTTAGTGGAAGTTATCAGGACAGAAGTAGGGGGTCTTGTGTGAATGGAAAGTATAGTATGATCCATAGATCACGGTAATCGCAGGGTCGTAAGGGTTATCAGTTGGAGGAACAGTGGATCTCACCAATCTCCATCACCGTCCACTCCATTGATTGGTGATGACCCTCATGACCATGTTGTATGGTCATAAGTGGACCTTGCTTGAAAATAGCATAGCCCTTAATAAGGGCGTGTATTACATGTGAAACATTTTCTTGAAAGTATTTTCACATAAAAGAACTCCCTTAAGAAAAGGGCTGGAGTCGTGGTGGTAGCATCCCGACATCCAATTACCATATTGTGGTATCCATTCCTACCGCTAACATCTTCAATTAACACATTCAAAATGTAACTCCCTAATCTATTGAAAAAAAAAAATGGGTAGAGGCCTGTCTTCCCCACTAAATTACCAAAAAAAAAAAACTCCCCCAACTGATTAGTTATGATAATTTTTTAACACGAATCGGTCTCAAAGCAGATATGAAAAAATCTCCCACACCCAATCATATGGGAGAGTTCTTTCATATGGAAATACTTTCAAGATAAATATTTTTCACACCTATCAAACATACTCTAAAGAAAATGAATACAAAAACAAAAGAGGCATACTTGGCTTGGTTTGTTCATGGATTGGGATACAAACTGAGACAATTATTTGCACAGGAAAATAAATGAAACAAACTAAAAACTCACTTCATCATGAATTCAAGCCATGCTTGTGGATTTTTCCGAAGGGCATCAACAACCGGTCTATACTCATCTGGTTCAAGCCCGTACTCAGACAATATATCTGCAATCTCTGCGGCTTCTGTTACAAGCAAACTCATTTTGAAAATATACATTAAAACTGTGGCATTTCCCTTTGGGGGTTCGAACACTAAAAAGAGAAAATCATTTTCGATTATTAACATATGTCTAGGACACATGTCTAGGACTAAGAGCTCCAAACCATTTTGAAACAAACACAAGAGAGTCAAATCATATATAGATACAAAATGGGGTAGAAAATTAAAGAAATATTTAACATTCTACTCATATCTGTTAATTTAATTTCAAAACACCCCATTAAAAGACACATAGTTATAACTTGAAATAGTTGTAAACGGGTTAAATATTAATTACTTCACCTCTTATCGTATTTGATAAATTAAAGTAAAACTGGTAAATAATTAAATCAACCAAGAAAAGAGAGACTTTGTCAAAGTACCTGTTTCTGGGACATTTATAATTTCCTCTTGCTCCCTTTTCAATTCACGATTGTAATGATCGGCTTCACTCTTTGCTGCAAGGTACCTAAAAGCCATATCAAACCACCAAAAATTAAAACCGATACTCCATTTTATTTGGGGTTATGTTAAGGTACTCATACATATGAGTATTTCATTAATGTACTTAATATTTGTTTATGTTCATTGTACTTGTTTTATAATACAAATTTTTTTTAATAATAATATTTTTTGTCTTTAGGATGGGTAGAATTAGATATTTCTATAAGAATCTAAAACCATCTTACTGGTGGTTAAGAAGCAATGGTGGCTCTATATGGATGATGGAGCACTTTAGGTTCACTAAAGTTAATAAATACTTCTCTTTCTACCAATAATTTTTATGCTATCCCTAATTCATTACCTAAAATACCTCTAGACAGAAAAATTACTACATGGTGGAATATGGTGGAATATAAAGATACGAAGCCTATGAAAATATTGAGTACCTTAAAAAAAATACTCGTATACATAAGTATCCTATCGTACTCCTTTTATTTAATGGTATTTTAAAGAGAGAATGGCAATTTTATTCTCTCGTGTCACAAGTCAGACTATCAAGAAGCTCAAATTTCTAACGAAATTATAGGGGATTGGATGGTGCTTGTCACTTATTGAGAATAAGAGTAGAGCATGTTGTATCGGGATTCTTCCTGTACCAAGGGTCCTTTTCAGGTCAACCTTTGGATCCATCCCAATAAAAGTTTAGGGGTTTTTTATCCTTGTAGAAATAAAGATATGGGGGTCAAAATAGAAGTGTCCGAAAGAGGAAAAAGGAGGCTATGGCCACGAAGGACCACCCCTTTTTGTCTCTCCAACTTTTTCTTTGTGGATGCATCTCTCTAACGTTTCTAGACGCTAGAGACCCACCGCACTGCACCGAATGTGCACCCCTTTCTCACACATACTGAACTGAACCATGCGTATGTGTCCATCCAGACACACTTATAAAAGAAAGGGATTGCATAGAACATTTACCTTTCATAAATGGAGGTCACAATTAATTACTTGATCTAAAATCTGATAATTTGGATGCGCAAAAGGAAAAAAAAAAGAAAAGAAAAGAAGAGACCGCTGCTCATTTTTTTGGACATGCATTCCAATTGAATATATGCATTTACAAGTATAGACAGTCCAGATAATAATATGTTCTTTTAGATTTGAAATCTTTTTCATTTCTATAGTCCAGATGATCAATTAAAGAGTTTTCCGCCACAAAAATAGCTACCTTAATTCTACAATCGCTTTCTCCCCAACTTTTGGTCCGGATCAGTTCCGGGTCCGGGCCCGTTCCTTAGTCATGAGATGGAGATTAAACATTCGACGACACGCGCCCAACACGTGGGAACCATTAAGCTGCCCTCACTAAGTTGACGTTTAGAAGGAGAGAGAATCGCATGTATGGGGAAGACGCATGTGGTCACATCAGTTATTGCACACATTAAGACGAGCGTTACATAAACTATGGAGCATCCTCCTAGAGAGTGGAAAAGGGTTGTACGATGAAGGCTTTCCTGGTGATTTAATGATTTTGGTAAAGCCCAACAAAGAATTTAATTTTCCAAAAATAAAGTGTGAAAAGACTTATATTAAACAAGTACAGGAACTTAGTCATTAACAAATGAATTCAATAACAAAAGTCCACACAAAAGAACTAACAAATGAATGCAATAACAAAAATACACAAAAAAGAACGTAGGGGAAAGCCCTCTATTAGAGAGAGAAATGAGTTTCTGAAAATATATACGCACAGAGACTACATAGAAACAAGTTTGGATCTAGAGAGTGTAGCAAATGCGTAGAAAGAGAGAAATATAATGATACAGAGAGAGAGAGAGAGAGAGAGAGAGGGAGTACCCGCCGAGCCCCATGGAGATGGCGCCTGCAGCTATCTCAGCGAGTCCGGCTGTGAGGATAATGGAAGAGGGAGCATTGGCGGCTGAGAGACCGGCGGCCAACGCAAAGGGCACGGTGAGGCCGTCGGAAACCCCCATTATAACGTCCCTCACCACCTCCCCCGCTCTGAAATGCTTCTCCATGTGCGGTTGCTTCTCTCTCGACACAAGCCCTTCCTCCAACCCTGATCCTTCTCTCTCTCCTGCCATTCTCTCTCTAAAAACTCTACTTCCTTTCTCTCTCTCACTACCCTCTCCTCCCTTCTCTCTCTCACTGCCCTCTCCTCCCTTCTCTTTCTCTCTCTAAAGAAAAACCAGGTAATCCCAGCAGTGGCGGCCTTTTTCATAAGAAAGTGGACGAAAACAAGGACAAATAATAAGGCCAGGAAAGGAAAAGAAGAGAGAGAGAGAGAGAGAGAGAGAGAGAGAATGGTTAATGGGGGAAGAAAGAGAACGTGTGATCAATGGAGATGGGACAGGTTTATCTAGGGTTTCTTTATTGTGTGCCGGTGCTGGATGGGGTCTTTTCGTCCTTTTCTAATAGAAACGCCCTTGAATTTCTTCGGAAATTTCGAGTTACCCTCCATTGGGAAGAAAATTTCAATTTTGCGAACCAAAAAAGGAATCCCGTTTTTTAATTATCTTAATTGGAGTTGCTCATAGTTTTTCATTCAAATTTTAAATAAACAATCAATATAAAGCGTGGTTTGAACATGAGAAATTTTTGTGATTGTCTTAAAATATGTTTTTATATTTAATTATAAGATCTAAAGCTTCAAAAATAGTGAAGATTTGTTATGAAAATCTTGAAAATTGAAGGTTTAAAAATGCATCACAAGATGCACTACTCCAAAATTTGAAATCTATTTTTTTCTCGTGAGTTTTGATGACGAGATGATTAATTTAAAAATATTTAAACATAAAAACAAATCTTTTTAAATAAAATTTTTTAAGTGGGCTTTATCCGAACTGTGCCCATATTTAAAAGATATAAAGAGAAATAAAATAACCTGTAGAAGAAAGAGAGATACTGGATAAGACTATGAGAGAGAGAAATAGAGTACATGAAGTAGAATTGAGAGAAAGAGAGAGAGGAAGAGGGAGAATGAAGGGGATATATAATTAAGGGGGGAGAGAGAACCCCTACCTTGAGAGAAGTGGAGAGGATATTGAAAGAGAGTAAACGTCGGAAGAATAGGAAAAATGGAAAGAAAATCAAAGAGATAGATGAGCTTAAGAGATCTTAAAATTTAGAGAAAGAGTTTAGGGTTGTATTTTAGATGGATTTCCTTATCTTAATCCAGTACTTCTTTTAGAAGCTATAATGTTTATTTTAAATAAATTTATTTTTTCTAATCTAATAACTAAATTAGTTAGTACGATAAAAAATCCTATTGATATGGAGAGAAAAAGAAAGGAGAGAGGGGAAAGAGAGAGTGGAAGGTTTAGAGAGAGAGAGGGATTTGAAAATATAAAAATTGAAGTTCTTTTAAGCAAATTTTCTATATTATAAAATATGCTTATGATTATTTTTCAAATTTTTTATAATGAATTTTTAAGTGCTCAAAACTGTGATATTTTGATATAATGTTTTAGGATGTAGAAATAATTTTTAAGTTCTATCTAACATTACATAATAAGAGAAAAAGTTTATATAAGGTTGAAAAACC